CAGAGGATGTGGACGAGCCGGGGATTCTTGAACTCCCGAATAATGCTTTCGCTCAAGTGTTTCATACAGACATAGTGAGAACAGCCCGGGAAGTTTCTCTTCACGGCATCCCCCACTCCCTTTTCCCATTTGGATAGAAAAATAATATTCGGCAGGATTTCAGTACACGTTTCGAGCGCTTTACTCAATTCCGAGAGGAACCACATCCAGCTCTCGTCACTTTCCAAATCGACCAAACCAAAGGCCACGGGATACAACCCACCGTTCGGATCGACTGACGTGGCCGAAAGCAATGTGCTGAGATACTTGCTCTTGAGCTGAACCCCACCGAGACCGATAATCGGGAGACAACCTCTAACAAACCCGCATAACGAAGCGCGAAAAGAGATGAACAAACGTTCGAACCGATTATCCGAACCGGAGGTAAACACCTCGGCTATACTACCCGGGTTTGTTTTCCGAATTTGCTCACAGTATGCCGGGAGAAAGTAGTATCCTTCTTCAGAGGACCCGTATATGGCCTGGAGCCCACGCTCCCTGGCCCGCCAGGCCTGCTTGTACGGTATGGTTATTCCATACTGCTTATATACGTCTTGTAAAATGTCCTTTGGCTTGTAATTCACGTTCTCACGAAGATTTTGATCTATGAAGCTCACAATCCAGTCGACCGACGCCTGGTGATGGCACGCGTGCACGTTTTTTCCACATGTGTGCATGGGGTCCAGGCTTCGTATGGCGAAGGTTGGGGAGTTTGGGAGCTTGACAGCACGCACGCGCCACGGGCAGTTATCAACCGCGCATTTGGCTATGTATCGGACGAGATCACTTTTGATGATCCGGAGTTCAAAGTGCTGGGCAATTGCGGCATCCTTGATCGCGTTGCGGAAGGACTTCACGTCCGGGAATTCTTGGCCAACTGCAAATACGTGGTCCTCCATCATGCATTATTAGGGGAAAAGAGTCGAGGAGTAAAGCGTTCTTAACACGACCTTCGACCGATTGGCCTATATTCGCAACCTGAAATGTTCATTGACTACACGGACAATGGAGCAATAAGTAAAGAAATGGTTATCACCCAACGGCAGAGCGAAATCCAGTTCTTTCTAAAGATTCACTGCTGTCCAGTAAAATCAAAGCGCAAACATGAAATTGCCTAAAATTAAACGGGTAGAAACGCCGCAATCGCCTAAAATCAAAGCGCATTCATCATGAGGATGCAATTGAAGAAAAAACCCTAGCATTGAAACACATTAAACAGTAATCAAATACCCTAATAAAAGATGCAATTTTCGTGTGCAGAATCGATATGAAAGTTCCTGCAAATTTTACGAACATTACCCAGAACGATTAACTCTACGACAAATAGCACTGCAAATGCAAAACTATCCCTAGAAAATCAACATGTAAAAATCACTAGAAAACACGAAAAAATACCATGTAAATGGAGTTTTTGGTAACTGGGTTTAGATGCAAACTGACCTGAAAATTTCAGTGGGCACTGATCGGTGAGGAAGGTCGAGACTCAAATTGGGGGAAGATTTAGGGCTCATTGAATTGGAGTCTTCTCAGTTTCTAGACTTTTGCCGGTGCCTCAAATGCTCATAGGTGAGACCAAAATGTCATGGATATATTGTAATTTTAGATAGAAATGTTTATCCAATTATATTATTAAAAATATATTTTTCCCCTTTCAATTTAATTATTTTTTGTTCCTAGTATTTCATATGCTAATTATAATTTGGATTTGGATTGGTAGATGCTACGGTCCCGTTACGGTACCATCCGGTCAGTTGTTTTAACCGTTAGATCTATGTGTAGTTAGATAAGATCGATGATCCAACGGTTAAAACATCCGACGGGATGGTACCGTAACGGGATGGTAGCATTTCCCATTTGGATTTATTGGATTAAGGTTTTGAGAAATACTGATGTATTTTTCTAAGATTTTTTTTTTTTTTAATTTAACTTAGACATCTTAAAACTTTTAAAAGTCTTGATGTGTTGTTTCAAAAGGTTTTATAAAGTTATAAGATATTGAAAAATGCTACAAGTACATAGTAAATGTACATAGAGATGTACATAACACTCACATGGAGTGGAAGCTACATGATTTTTTATTTTTGGTGGGTCTCACTCAATGTGATTGTTATGTACACTCATATGTACAATATTATGTACCTATAGCATTACTCATCCAACAACTTTACATTCACTACCCAAATAATCTTGGAACCACAACTACACAACCATCACTATCCAACTTTTACTAAATTAATAATAATAAAAAAAAAATGGCTGACAATTGCAGCCAAAATAGACAAAGGGCCTCATTTTTTTACCGTTCAAGGCAGAATAAACGATGTAAAATTTTACACGTTCTCCACCAATAAAGGGAAATTTGATCCTACCCATGTGGGTAGTGCCCTCATGGAATTTTTAGCCACATGTTTCACACACACCCATGTGGGTGTGTGTGTGATTGTGTGTGATTGTGTGGCTAAAACCCCATGGAAGCACTATCCCATAAAGTAGGATCGAATTTACCCCAATAAAGCCAAGCATAATTCTGACATTGAACTGACATTACACCTTTGTTGGAGTTGTTCTAAGGTTGATATGACCTTTTCAAACTTGTTAAGATTTCAAATACAAATTACATATGTCAAATCCCATCACCAAAGCTCACATTTATAGAATTGAGATTTTAAAAAGTTTTAAAATTGTTACTCAAGATTCCAAAAGAATACACACACCATCGAAAACCTTGTGTGAGGTGGCCTAATCATTAGGCAATCGATTTATCGTACTTTTATAAAAGAAAAATGCATACTTATTCTATGAAACTTCACTTTTATTTATGTTGTTTTAGAGTATGACATTTACATTTGTAAATATGTACAATTATTAAAAAACTACGGTCGTCTAATCGTTAGACCTGTCGAACAACAGTTACTACCGACAAGCATCCTGGGTCATTGGCCCCGCTTCCCGTTTTGGCGCTTCAAAGAGCTTTTCTTTATAAACTTTCTCAAAATCACAACAAAAACTTTCATTGACCGTGTTTCGAGCATAATAAAAATTGGTAGAGTAGAAGAAGCATCACATTATTTGATAAAGAGAAGTAAAGATGAAAATGTGCAGATTTTTGTGGTGTTGAATGCATAGAACATTCGAAAATGGAACCAC